TATATATATAAATGAAATTTTTAAACATTACTGATATTTATATCATACTTAATGATAAGAATACACTAAGTCAAATATTGTAATCGGAAGAACTAAGTTGAACCTATTCATGTACATATTCTTATAATTAATAAAAGAATATCTATAAGACAATCTATATTGATGTTGTTGATACTTGCAATGTGATGGTTATATAAAATAAACTTTTTATTATTAAACTTATGAAAGCTCTATATGAAAAATCTTTTATGACACAAAAATATATATATTTGTCCAAATAGAAAGTAAAACTAAAATGCATGGCTATAAGGGTTGCTTATATTTGAGCAACAATTAAGCAGAGTTTAACCTAAATCCTACCAACAACCAAAAAGGACCACTTTAAACCTCACAATATCTTAGATTTGGGTTCCTCTCCAATGTTGCCATAAATTTCTCACTTAGGAGTTGTTTATTAGAAGGATTTGTGTAGTATTTAATTATGATTTAACCTAAATCCTACCAAAAAACTAAAAATGACAACTTTAAAAACTACAATAACTTAAATCTAGTTCATACTCTTTTTGTGCTAAATTGCTCATTAAGGGTTTTTGGTAGCAGGAATTCAGCAGCATTAATCAAGATTAACCTAAATCCTACTAATCAACAAAAATGATAAAATAAAGCTCTAAATGATCTTAAATTTTGTTTCTCTTCCATTTTGCTTTAAATCCTGGATATTGCTTAAACATCTAAAATGACAACTTTAAGCCGTGCATGATCTAAAATCCCATTTCTCCAGCTTTCTGTCTTAAATCTCAGATATAATAGATGAAATTTGAAGGAGGATTTACAGATTTTACATAAGGTGATGCAGCGTGAAGTGGGGTGCAAGGAAAGGTGTGAAATATGAGTGTTAATTGAGTGGGACGTAGAAGTAGAGTGGAAATAGAAGATATACCAAAGGCTATATTCAAAGATCCTTGCACGTCGTGACCTTGTTGTTGTGTTCCCTGCTTGCATGCCCTGGATACTCACGATTTGGGCTAACCATAGAGAGGCGAAATTACAAGATGCCAAAGAGAAAGTGAGGTTTCCGAATTTGCGGTGGTTTAAAAGTTAATTTTATGTGGTCGCCTTTCATACATATCCAAAGTCTTATATTTTCATATTTAACACCCAAACTTTGATAAAATAAATATATAATTATTAATTATATATTAATTAATGAATATATATCTTAACAAAATAAATGTATAATTACTAATTAATCTAAAAAAATTATTTATATAATAATATATATCAACAAATCTATAATTAAATAATAATGACTAATTATATTTTATTTAAACAATATATCATACATGATTCAAATTATTTTTGAGCTTAATCTCGAATATTGAATAAGTTATTTGTAGAGCAACAAACGAGTTCGTTCGTGTATATATATGAACAAATTCGCTTATGTTCATGTTTAAGTTATTTTAAACATTGAATTTTTAAAATTTGTTCAAGCTTATTTATTTTTTAATTCGAACAAACAAGATCGAGTCTTAATGGAGCCGAGTTATAGTTGTTCACCGAGTGCATTGGTTCATTTACAGCCCTCGATCTGCATGTAAACCTTACCTTTTCCGATTTAGGGAGAATAAAACCTGAGAGAAACAGACGCATAAAAATCAAATCAGTATTCGGAACCGTCCCTAATTTATACAAAATTTGGAAATAAAACAGCTGAGGTAGCACCCCACGGTGAATAAGACGACGAAGAATGCCACCTCGAATCGCACTAACTACTGCATGGATTCCCACAGACCAGATGGGCGGTCCCATGCCCTCCCGAAATCAGCCGGCCTATGAGCCAATCAACCCCGCTAGCTGCCACCTTCGACTCCTACTTTCATCCAATAAAGAACAAGCTCAGGTGACGACAGGTCAACAAAATTAGCTACCCTTCTTCAAAAATCTCTATTCTATTTCTTTCTAATAATACAGAAAAAGAAAGAAAAAAAAAGTGGGGACAAATAGACAAATCCCTTCCCTTCACATTTCTACTTGGCATCCATTCTCTCATAATGTAACACACAGATCCTAATGCTTAAAACACTAGAGAGTCGCACTGCTCAATCTTGATAATAATCGGCTTGCAATCCTGCTCCTTCACGTTTTGCCCGCCCGTGAGAGACTGCGCGCGCTCGGCTTGTCGTGTCCAATCCGTGCGCGCGATGACGCCAAGCATTAGAACAAGGCAGGCCAATTGCGCAGCGAGGAGCCCTAGCCAAAGCCCACTAAAATCCAAGCGAGCCCAGAATGCCAGCCCAACGGCAATAGGCATCCCCACGCCATAAAAAGAACCGAGGTTTATATGCGCGCCAGTGCGCGGGCGCGCGCTGCCTCGCAGCACTCCGCAACCTGTCGTTTGCGGGCAGTTTCCCAGCTCGCATAAGCCTAGAATTGGCAGTACTGTCGCTGTGAGGCTGACGATCTCGGCGTCGGCTGTGAAAATCTTGGCCCAGATGTTGCGGACGGAGAGGGAGAATGAGAATGCCGTGAGGCCGAGAAGCGCACCGCAGAACAACCCGATACCAGCGGCACGGCGAGCGCGGTCGGGCCGGTTAGCTCCGAGTTCGTTGCTGACGCGGGTTGAGACGCCAACGCTGAGGGAAGAGGGGAAAATGTAGATTAGAGATGTTGTTTGGATTAAGAGGCCCATGGATGCGACGGTTGCTTGGGGGCGTAGGAGGAGACCGCAGAGGAGGACCATGATTTCATACCACCACCATTCCAAGCACACGGAAAAGCAGCTGGGGACTGCGAGGGCTATGAGAGAACGCCAGCCTGAGAGGGAGAAGGTGTCGTCGTCAGCAGAGGGTATAAGGCCTCCAGTGCGGAGGTGGACGCCGGAGAAGTGAAGGTAGGCTATGAGAAGGAGAAGGAGATTGAAGTTGGTTAAAACAGAGGCGAGGGCGACACCGGGGATACCGAGGTGGAAGTGGTTTATCAACAGGTAATTGATGGGGAAATGAAGGGCAACGGTGGCGGCGGCGGTGACGGTGAGGGGGAGAGTGATGGATTGTGTGCGGAAGTAGACGCGGATGGGATGGAGGAAGGATTGCAGGAAGAGGTCTGGTAGGGAGAAGAGGATGAAGGATTGGGCGGCTTCGGCTATTTCAGTGTTTTGGCCGCAGAGGATGAGGATGTGACGCATCGAGAGCCAGAGGAGGCAGATGGGAAGGGAGGCACAAAGGAGGAGGAGGATGGTGCGGCGAAGGGCGAGGCCAAGGAGGTGATGGCGACCTGCGCCATAAGCTTGGCCGCAGATAGGTTCCATGCCTGTGGCGAGGCCGGAGAGAACAGAGTATCCTGTTATGTTAGCGAAGCCGATGGCGAGGGAGCCGCCGGCGAGGGGGAGAGAGCCTAAGCGGCCTAGGAAGAGCATGGAGATTAAGGAGCGGGAGTAGAGGAGGAGGCCGGTGAGAACCATGGGAAGGGTGACTGAAAGAATCGATTTTGCTTCGATCAAAGAAAGGGTAAGCTGTTGGGCTGGTCCAAGGGACTCAAAAACTGGGGATTCATCGTTGCTCGTGGTTTTGTGATCAACTAGGGGCATGTAAAGGGTTGCATGATCAGGAGGGAGACTGCCGAGCTCTCCATGAGTTTCAGAGCTATTAGATTGGCACATGGCTGTTGCTTCTGCTTGTTCTGCTAGAAATGGAAATAGAGGAAGGGGAAGAAGCAGGAGGAGGAGGAGGAGGAGGAGAGAGTTTTGAGTGGAATTTGGTTTTGTTGTGGGCGAATAAATGGGCGGGGGGTGTTGGAGGGATTTATAGGAAAGAGGCAGAGCGAAGACATTCTTCCTGCCGGGTGTTTGGAGGCTACTGTTTTATCCACTGAAGGGAGCGCGAGACTAAATTAGTTTTTTCCTGCGGCTACTTGTTCTTCTCGTTGAAAGGGCTGCTTCCCACTATTCCATCCTCCACCTCCCGTACTTATCCGTCCTCTCTACAGGGGACATACTCATTAGAGAATATTATGGTATCTATAATTAAAATAATTATAAACACAAATTAGAGTATATTACTTATTTTTTAAAAAATTTTTTGTTGATTCAATATGCATAATTACATACAGATCACCTAAAATATTGATATTTACATTTAATCATTCATATAATTTTTAAACAGATGCATTTTAGTATGTCATAATCAAACTATTGAGTGTATGGTAAACATGAAACATATGGGCTGAGGTATTATCATGAATTTCGATATTTGAGTGAAAATTTTAAAAATGAATGAAAGAGAGTGGTTAATTTCTTTAATAATAAGTTCTTAGTATTGATTTGTCTTTATTAAAAATACATATATATCCATATTTAAATTAGAAGAAGACGAAAAACAAAATAAAATAAAATAAAATAAGAGGAGAAAACAATTGTCTTTATACAAAATTTAATAAAAATGAATAGTTTCTGTAAAAAAATTATTTTAAGGAAATTCTTTTATGATTTCTATCCTTTTAGAAAAGAAGACCCGGCTAAAAATTAGAAACTAGAGGTAAATATAGATTTAAGCTTTTAAATTAATAATAATAGACATCTATTTGTTTTAGTTTTTATGTTGGTAATATTCAAAAATTAATTTATTGCACTGAGTTTTTGGTGAGAGAGACAAACAAAGATGGATGAGAGGCAACTAAATACAAATAGCATTGAATAAATTTGCATAAGCATATTGGTTTACTGGGGTTTTTTTTGTATGACTGTTTATCCACTATGTATTGCTTGTTATGTATGTGATCACTTGTTGATTTTATTATTTTGAGAATGCATTGTTCTTAGTGGCGAAACTGTCACCATATGTATTATTTCATTAGAGAGATGTTGCATCAAATTTTATTGGCATTTTTCTTGCAACAAAAGGAGAAGCATACAACTAATATTTAGGTTAGGGTCTATAAGAATAATCACACTATGAATTTGAGCAGACGAGTCATTGAATCTTTTTTGAAAGGAGATGAGAGGAGCATTGATGATTACCTCAGCCTATTTTTTATTGACCATTTTCACAGTCCAGACATAACTCAATTAAAATGATAAAGCTGCTCCAGTACATTTAATAAATAGTGCCATGCATCTGGCATTAAAGGTTATCGTAGTTTCTCACAATACAAGCAAGCCCAATTTCTTTTAAACAAGCACTATCTTGCAGAATAACAATTTTGACACCTTATACTTCTAAGACATGTTATTTGGAGCTCTAGACACAAATTTTATGGAAACATTTATATCTCAAACATTAGTGAATAAAATTCATTTAATTTTAATAAATTTAGACATCCATGTGAGTGCCAAACAATATTATTTGCACATTGAACATTATTTTCATATAGTGAACCACGTTTTTAATTACGTAGTATCGCGCAGTTAAATGATACCTTTTGAAAAGGAAATATAAGTGGAACGTAGCCAATCACCTTTTTTTATTCAATTTTAATTGTCAAAATACTCTTTAATTTTTCTTTTTTAAGAGGACTGAGTGCGGTCGAAAAATATTATGTAACAGAATGCTTTGCTCCGTTTCTTTGGTTTGTGTATATTTGATCCGGTTCATGCGGTCGTAGGGTTTTGAATTAACCTTCTAAAATGTAGAGCGGTAGAGAAATTATAATTATCATTATTTATGACTAGTTTGCGCTTAAAACCTTAATGAATTTTTTTTCAATTGAAATAATTAGCTTAAAATTGTAAAGCTTTCTGTTTGAACATAATATCTTATAAAGATAATTGTGTTTAATAACTACATTATAGGGCAAGTATTGATCTTTACATATCAATGACTAAATCGCATCAATAAAATGTTTGGAATTATTAATGAGTTATTTGATTTACTGAAAAAGTAGTGCAGAGTAAATACAGGCTATGTAGAAGTAATATATTGTATTTGAGATATTTTGAAATTGTTTGGTTCACTAGAAAATATACACACGACTTCATTTTTTTTTTGTTTTTATGGAGTTTTGATACATCATCAGCACATTTCAAAAACTGATGTGCTAGAAGATTTGTGGTGGTAGAGTATGAATTGTCGTCTTAATATTGCACGAGAATTCAGTACACACTCAAATGAAAGAAAATAATCAGGAGAAACAACAGGAGTTTTTACATGAAAAACCCAAAGTAAGGAAAAAAAACTACGGTGCTTGGTCCAATTGTAAAGATTCACTGTAAGTTGATTACAGAAACCACTCGTCCCACAGGTGAGACAGGGTTATAATGTCTTCCAAATTATAATGTTGATTAGTGGAGGAACAATTATCAATTGTTATTGGCGGCGGACAAAAGTGGTGGTCGACAGTCGTTCGCGGTGGTCGACATTAGTGGGAGTGATGTTGGACTTCATCTCCTTCTCAAAGTTTCAAGCTTTTCCTATTTATAGAGTCCCGACTGCAATTAATGATGATATTTGAACCACACTAATTAGATGACTCGGAGAGATTTCCTCAATTAGATGACGTTTAATAACCATTTAAGTGCCGTAATGATGTCGAAATTGAGTGAACTTGGACTCGTTAGATTTGTCTTGTTGAGACACTCAATTTGACTATAAGCTCATCAATTTGACATTCATTTGACATCCCAAATATGATCATAAAGTTTCTGAAAGTGGTTTAATGACTTGATCTGAGCTTTAATTGACTTGAATTATATCAATTTTTTTATCATCAGGCCCGTCTCATCGAGCTGGTTAATTTGACTGTAAGTTTTGGTTGACTTTTAACTGAAGTTCAAATGTTTCAGGGTCAAAAAGTTACATTGAGATCCATGACATGCATCGAGATTTGTGTTGAATGAAAGAATTTGTTGATAGCGTGTTAGCTGCCCCCTCATTTTCGGATGAAAAATTTGGTTATCATTTTATAGTGGTAGCCACTGTAATCAACATTTTATGATGGAACTCTTCAGCTGGGCTAGATCCCATGATTTTTCCCTTCACAAGTTTTGCACGTAAAAATTTCTTGTGTCACTACTAGTTTTTTTTCTTCCGAGTGTGTGTTGAATTTTTGTAACACACGAAGACAATAAGACATTACTCTACTGCAAATTTTCTGGTACACATAAATTTTACACAACCTATAGTAAAAGAACATTCCCATCACTAAAATAATTGTGATACTTGTCGCATGGCCACCAAACCCATCACTCGCAACAACAAGCATCCTGCTCCAACTCTTATCATTCTAGTAGGCGGTCATGGAGCCAAGGGTGTCAGACCTTCATATCTTATTACTCAAGAATAAATTAGCTGACGAAGGAGCCTTAGGTATTTATTTGGAAAACCGAGTACATAGAATGGAGGAGTCCCAACACCAGTTCCTTCAACTCCTATGGTAGATGATACTTACACACCCAGATGGAGCTTACTTACCAACAGTTCAATATCCAACAAGAAAAATTCCACTCATCGGATTCTTTCCTAATGATGAAACCATTGTCATACAGAGATGGGACACATATTTTCTTAACATTACAAGTTCCATTCATTCGTTTAAGGCAGCTCACCTAGCATCGCCCTGCGTTACTGTCGCTCCTGCTAATGTCACCCGTGATGTATTGGAACACCTGGTCCAGGTAGAGCTCCCTTTGGACAATAGAGATTGTTTCCAACTTACTGGAACTTCGAAGAATCCTCTCCTTTGGTAGAGGCAGTTCTCCGACACTCTATCACAACAAACCACAAAGTCCCGAACATCAATGTCTATGAAGGTACAAGTGACTCATATGAGTAGACCAACCTTTCTCGAACCATCATGCACATTCAATGTGCCTCTGATTTATCAAACCATCCTTTATCGAATCTTATAGCACAAGCACACCAACCTTTATCGAAATGTGCTGATGATGATGTGTGTGTGTGTGTGTGTGTGTGTGTGTGTGTGTGTGTGTGTAATATATAGATATATATATATATATATATAGATATAGATATAGATATGCATATAGATATAGATATAGATATGCATATAGATATAGATATAGATATAGATATAGATAGATAGATAGATATATGAAAATAACATGATAATGAAGAAATAAAATGCTCCGAATCAAGATATTTTAGTATGATAAAATTAATCTTGTTTAAAAATAGAGGGCAACTCATACACCATTAACAAATTTCTTCATCCAACACAAATCTCGATGCATGACAGAGATCTCAAGGTAATTTTTTGAGCTAAGAACATGCAAGCTTCAATTAAAAGTCAATAAAGATTTCCATTTCAGCAAACTTATAATCAAACTGATCAGCTTGATCAGATAGACCCGATGATACTAAAATTGATCAAATCCAAGTCAAATCAAGTCATTAAACCATTTTTGAAAGTTTTTCAGATACCTTTAGAAGATCCAATGGATGTCGAATCCAACAAGTTAATAATCAAATTGAGTGTCTCGACAAGCCAAGTCCACTGAGCCCAGGTTTACTTAATTCTGACATCATTAAGACACCCAAATGACTACCAAACACAGTTTGATTCTGGGATCTCTCTAGGCCGTCCGATCTAAGTGATTCAAATTCCATCATTAATTGAAATCAGGACTCAATAAATAGAGCCCCCACCACTTCATATAAGAGGGAGATAGCTTGAGGCTTGAGGAAGAGTTTAGAGTTTTGAGAAGGAGTTGAAGTCCAGTATCACTCGTCTCGCCGTCGATCACAGCTAATCAATGTCAACCACCATTGATCGTCGTCGACTATCGCCGATCAACATTGACCACCACT